AATTTTTTTATTATGCCTAAAAAAACACTAAAAAGGCATTTAGACATTCATCTACATTTTACAGAAAGAGGTCGAGGCTTTTGCAAAATAATAATAGTAGTAGTGATATCTTGCCTTCACCCACAAATGTTTTTTATCCGGAAGAGATGCTGTATTACACTGGTGCATCTTAATTTCATTTTTAAGCTTAGGAAACCAGCAGACTCCATCCCCCTCCCACATGTGAGGTGCTGGTTCCAAATCTTTTAAATTTTGTATATATACTATCTTAAAAATGTGGCTGTCCCTTTTTTAAGGAGAAAACAAAAACTAAAATATAGTTACTTTCGTACAAATCACTGATACGGAGAGTGAGGTTACGTGGCGTACGTGGAATTATATACGTCATAATAACGATTGCCGGTCGTCCGGTTTGATGACTTCGGTCGTGTGAGACGACTAATGTTGAGACCCGGTCGGAATTGGTATATTGGTAGTTCATATTAAGTCGGACACAGAAATCCGCCATTCTAACAACAAGTATCCGATTGTCAGCCATTTTAAAATCACTGTTTTTGTTTTTAAAATTTATATTCACATTCCGATTTCTAGTAGAATAATATTGATAAGGTTGATTTTGGGGGGGAACCACAGTACAATTTTATGATTAAACCAGCTAGAAAATAAAAAAAAATATTTTGCGAGTTACTTTTTTATAGATATTTTTATTTCATAAATCTACCTAATTTTGAAGGCGCTCGTTGTTTTCCGGAGTATTTTAATCAGATAGATCAAAAAAGTGACTTCCGTTGACAAAACTGATGTCTGGATTAATGATTCAGAATTATAATAATATGAAATTAGGTAGGCACTTATAGTTATATTCGAGGAGTTATTATGAATCCATTTGTAATTAGGTAGTTTGGTTAGGTTTTTATGTATTCTTGGTAGCGAATATGAAACCAAAAGTAACGTAAGTGCCTAGCGACGAATTTTAAGTGACTAAAATCCAACGTAATATGACGTTGGTAATTGGTAGAATTACATTCCCTATTAGGTCAGATACCGACGTCGAGGCGACCCGAATCTGTATTTCCCATTTAGGTGCAAATACGGATCGTCAGGCGGTCGAACCGACGTTGGTACCCGACGTCGGGTTTATTGAACGCGACGTATACCCGACGTTAGATAACGTCCAAATGCTACTTGGGCAGGAAATAGGTTTTCTCTGTTAAAACAGACCAATTCCGACCACCCTGTACATTTGGTTTTGTTTAAAGGTAGTCAATCTAGAAGAATATTTTTTGTGTAAATTTAAATTAACAATGGCATTATTCCTCCTAAAGCAATGCAAAATAATATAATTCTATTTGTTAGTATCTTTTATCCATGTCTATTATTTTACCCAAAAGTAGGCAAAGAAAATGAAGTCCTCCTACTCTGGGTGCCTGCTCACCAAGGAGTATAAGGCAATGAAAAAGCAACAGATCTAGCTAAAAAGGGAACGAACAGAATAGATCTTTAAGGTCGCGGTGGTAAACAACCTCCTCCATCTATATCTACCTAAAATAAGAAAAATATCTAGAAAAAAATTAAAGATATAGAACAGATAGAGGGATTCAAAAAAACCTCCGACAATAACAAATCACTTAATTTTTCATCCACATAAGGTCGCGTTCACACAAAGGTCAGTTGGCGCGCCGTGTAACCGCATCCTTAAGCGACGACCTTTCCAGCGTAAAGCGTCGGGCCATCTGGAAGACGTCTCGGATTAATTGGAACTTACCCTTATCCGGCTTATAACGATACGACTGCAAAACGCTCTCAGGCTTCGAATTATGTACGTCTGTTCCAGTGAAATATGTCTAGTAGCCTAGATTAAGGGTTAAACGCCGGAAATTCCCAATGTCTGATTATATCAATCCTGGAGAAGTTTTATTAAATCTCCTACTTACATGTTACTACCAAAAATTGTTTTTTTTGTACCTTAATTAAGTATGGAAAGTAAAAGTATTTCGGACAATTGTCTTTATTTATTTTGTTTACACAACGTTTTGGTCAGAATTATCACTGACCGTTATCAAGTGGGAACTAAACTCCTAAAACTACTGAACTTGTAAACTAGAAACGAGCATTTACCCGTGAAGAAGTTTGAAGTCGTCAAACCGAAGTCGTCAAACCCGAAATCTGGCTTCGATATGTTGACTATACCTTTATAATATGGAATGGAACCGATAGACAGGTGGATTCTTTTCTCAATCATCTCAATTCACAAAGTAACTCAATCAGATTCACAATAGAGAAAGAGAGAAAAACTTCTAGAAGTTTTTCTCTTTCTCTATTGTGAATCTACATAAAATATTACTTTTGTATAGAAAGAGAAAAACTTCTAGAAGTTTTTCTCTTTCTATACAAAAGTAATATTGTATAGCCAGATTCTTTTATTCCCTAAAAAACAAATCTCTACTTAAAGGACCCCACAGACTTCGTTCTTTTTTGTCATTTTTAATCGCCGCGATTAACAACGACGGTTAAAACTGATAGTCTGTGGCACAACATGGATATCATCACCGTCGGTGAAAATTTCTGCCTTTGCTTGAAATCTGAATCGTCGGTTCATCCATTTTCGTGAAAACTGCTAATATGTGTGCCGTTACTTTTTAATCGGCGATCTTTCACATTGGTGCAGGTGTACCGGGTGTCCCACTAAGAATAGCTCTCGGCTGTATCTCGGAAAGTATTAGCCGTAGGGGCTGCGGAAAAAATATTTATAACTAAAGAGGCTATGAGAAATTACTGGAAATAATTTTAAATAAGCCCTTAATTAACTTATTTTTACAATACGGTATCAGTAGCCCTCTTGATTATGCCCATTCTAACAAAAAATAAGATAAAAACAGTTAGTTTATTTTAAAATCGATGAAATACCAGAATACCATAATACCAGATATATTAATATCTAATAATTAAGATATTAATAACAGTGAACAAGAACGATGATTCAGTGAAGTCATCGTAGACTTTTGAAAAAAGTTGCTTTTGACGTAATAGTATAAACGTCAAATTGTTATTAGATCAACATTTTGATAGCCTTAGCAGCGTTTTTTATTGCTTTTATTATTTGAAGTAGTTGAAGTTGTTGGCCTTTTTTGAAAAAGCAATCAAAAGATAAAAAACGCTGCTTAAACTATCAAAATGTTGATCTATTAACAATTTGACGTTTATACTATTGCGTCAAAAGCAACTTTTTTCCAAACCAAAGCCTACCATGACTTCACTGAATTATCGTTTCTTGTCCACTGTTATTAATATCTTAATTATTAGATATTAATACCTCTGGTATTATGGTATTCTGGTATTTCGTCGATTTTAAAATAAATTAACTGTTTCTATCTTCTTTTTTGTTAGAATGGGCATAATCAAGAGGGCTACTGATACTGTGTTATAAAAATAAGGTAATTAAGCTTATTTTTTGGTATTTAATATAATTTTGCTAATATCTTCGGTTTGAAAGAAGATATCAAGATGCGGTTTTCGCCGACTTTTTAAGCTTTTTCTACTCTTTCCGATCAGCTAAAATAACATATACTATTGCATTTAATTTTTTTGAGAAAACGCGCAATGTTTGTTAAATTGTAAGACAACGCCCCCTAGCGTCTACGTTCAAAAGCTTATTATTATTGTTTATATGGTACAATATATAGTAAGAAACGCTCTTTAAAACGAGCCCTCGTTTGTTGGATTCCGATCATCCAGTCCAGAGTTATTAATATTCAAATAAAAACAGATTTAACCTTCCCCCACCACTTTATTTTGGTAGATAGGAGAAAATGGCTCTAACAAAAAATATTCAAAATTTACTGAAGATTATGAAGCTGTTACTTGTAGTACACCTTATCTAGGGAAAATTGTGTAAAAACTCCATTGTCTTATTTTTTGTTGCAGTTGCTGCCTAGCGGTAGTTCTACAAACTTGAAAATAATTTCCAGCAATTTCTCATAGCCCCTTTAGTTATAAATATTTTTTTCCGCAGCCGCTACGGCTAATACTTTCCGAGATACAGCCGAGAGCTATTCTTAGTGGGACACCCTGTACATGTTGCATTTATTATTTGTTATTGTCTCATTGGTATGGAGATTATTAATTTTAAATAAAGAGTTTTTAATTCAGTTTTTAGACGTTGGCTATAGGTACTTGCCTGGTTATGGAAAATTAATACTGATTATTACAAAAATCGCGACAAAAAAATAAAACTTACAAAACTCTACTTGAAAAAATGAAGGAGGAGGATCATGATACAAAGAATACAAGGTATGATATTGCGCAGGTTAGTCACTACGTCACAGGTGATAAACGGCCCATTGGTCGGCAAGTTTTGCGCGCCAATTTCAAATTGTCAAACAGATTGTGTCATGTGTGAAATTTGATTGTGTCAAAATGTGAAAATAATTTTTCATATGTCAAGCTCGATGTCAAAACATAACTTTTGGGATTATGTCCTAATTCTTCCCTATTTTAGGTTTTTTTTATTAGTGGCAATTGAACAATATGGATATTTTTTTGTATGGCGTATGACGTCACAGGTGGTATGCGCAAACTTAACGACATTGGAGCCGCTATCGATCATACCTTGTTTTCTTTGTACCATGGAGGAAGATAAGCTTCTCTACAAAGTGTAAAAACAACAGACTCATTTCATAGCATTTTTCGGAAGGAATTAAAGAAGATGAGTGATTCTGGTATCTTTTAAATAACCAATCTTTAGCCCATTTTTTTCTATTTTTCTTCTTTTTTACATTTAGTGTATCTATCGCTGCCGCCACTGCAAGTAAATCGACACGTTCCGTTTTGTTACGGTGTATGTGTATGCAAATACACATACACATACATTGCTAAAAAACAACGAGGTCTGTGGCCGCCTTAATAGTCGTACTAAGATCACTTTGAATATAAAAGAACTTAACAATCAATATTCATCACCAAACCAGTCTTACTGTTATTCACTACTTATTTATTTTCAGATGGTGTTCTATCGTACAGTGCTCCTGCTTCTTCTGACACAACTCAAGGACTATATGACAGCAGCTATGACGGTCATCGGTCCCAAGGAGTGTTATTTAATGGCCTTGGAAGACTAGTTGACGGAGAAGTTGGCTTGGACAACTTTAGATTGGATATTGGATACGGAAAAGGTTATTATATTTCAATTTAATACAATTATTTTAGTAAGTATATTTTTGATATTTAGTTTATTTTCAAGTTTCGCAAGCTTTTATGCCTATTACATACAGGCTTATTTTTACCTATTACATACAGGCTTATTTTTGTTGTTATTGTATTTTTTTTTAGTAGAATAACTTTTTTTCTTGCTAGAACATATCTTTATTGTTGACTCTTTTTATAGGAAATGGATGGACGTCATGGAGAAATGATTCTTTTTCCAACGGTTACGTTGAACTGGTCTTCGAGTTTGACCAAGTGAGAAACTTCTCTAAAGTTCATCTCTACACAAACAACATGTTTTCCAGAAACGTGCAGGTAAAATATTTTTTTCTTGCAGTATAACTAAGAAAACGCTAAAAAGGTGAAGTGGACTGTGTTTATTTACCTATGAATCGTTTATTTACCCCCGGCTCTTCCTTATCGCTGCGGCTTTTACACTTTAAAGTTGAACAACTAATCACCATTGTAATAAAGTTTATACAAAGTTCACTACACACAAACTATTAAAAATCGCTAAAATTTTGTTGCTGATGACTCATTCGTTACTTCCAAAAAAATGGCGTTTAAGGTCACAAATTCTGCTGCAGCCCGTATAATATGGGCTTTACATGTCCTAGTATTCTTTAGTCATTGCAAATTTTAAATATATTGATTTCATGCTATTTGTTCCAACTGCACCAACTTGTTTCTTTGGAAGATAAAGGGTGTATTCCGTTGCTTACCTTGATTATGGTTTTATGTTCCGTTTCTATCGGTTTCCTGAAAGTTGTCTTATTACGGAACCCAGTTCCTGAAAAATTCGGTTTTAACTGTCACCAAACTAACCAGCGCGAGAATTGAAATTAAAACGAATGAAACATCTATCACTATCAAGGATTTTGTCGTTAGATAGACTATACGCACTGTTATGATTAGGGTATTCGTTAAAATAACTTTCTCTCTTGTTATGCCAATGTTGGTCCATCCGACACAGCTTCTCCTCTTAATTAGCAGGTCGCTCTATCGGAATGCAGCGTCCTCGCCAAATTTATTCGAATCATTCGAACAGTTTAAACACAAACAGCGAACAAACGAAGAAGAAGACGAAGAACTTTGGAATTTCCGACTAGTTGTAACTCGTAATTCAATATTTGTTTTCGGCTCCTCCATTTAGCCAAGTTTCCGTTTCAGGCAAATGTCAGTAGATGCGAAGTAGTTAAATGAGATTGGTATATTTGGAGGCTAAACTAAAATTACTAGATTATTAAAAGTAAAAAATACTTTTTGTTATTTTTTATACAAGACGATAAATGGTATTTTATGACGATAATGCAATTTTATCGTCGTGATATAAAACAATATTTTTTTCCATAGCGAGTTACGTTTTAAAAAATATTCAGAAATTATTATTTCAAGGAATTTATTACGAGTAAAAAAAAATATTGTGCTGGGTTGGCGTTGGTTTCTATGTAATTTGACAAATAAATAAAGCTGTCTCTTTAGTTGTCAGTTTTGAGTCAATATTTTTTAATTCTCTTTCGTGTCGATTGCTGATCGAATTGGAGCCAGAAATGGCTCAAAACGAAATAAGTAAATTACCAACAGATATTCAGGCTGAGGCGACAAACGCCATATCCAAACTACTTCCATTTAAATCCCGAATAACTTATGAAAAGGAATAAAAAAATTTTTAAAAATGGAAACAATTAAAAACGTACGAGAACAAATAAAGTTTTTAACCTATCCTCGCTGTTAAAGTATCATTTAATCTACCCTTGTGGAATAAAAAAAATAGTCAATTTTTTTGACCCACCCTATTATCTATATTACACTTTTTTTTAAATTTCTCGAAGTATATGATTTTATCATTTTTAACTTTGTTTCCTAGGTCTTTTCCAAAGCAAAAATTCTGTTCAGCATCGGTGGTCGATTCTATAACGGTCCCATTCTAACCTACGTGCACAACTCAGATCGAATCACTGAAAATGCTAGGAATGTGTCCATTGGTCTTCATCATCGAGTGGGACGTTACGTCAAAGTGAGGTTATTCTTCGCCGACCAGTTGATGATGCTCAGTGAAGTCATTTTCGAATCCGGTAAGTCATATTTTTATGATCTTTCTAATTTAGGTTCGTCATAGTCATAAAGTATCATTTGACAGTATACTGGGTGGTGCATAGTCCATTGGAGATAAGAAATGCCATACAATTTTTTTTATTTTTTTATTGTCCAAATATTGTTGATTTTATAGCCAAGTCGTAAATAGTTGTTTTAAATGTATGTGTATGCTGAATACAAGTGGCAAATTTGAGCTAATTTGGACAATCTGTTTTTAACTAATTTAAGAAAAAGATCTTGCATCTATCATATATTTTTAAATTAAAATTGAACAGGTAGCTATTCAAACCCAGGCAAATGTCAACATACCCTAAGTTACCAACCTATGATTTGGTCATATCGAATAAAATGTACTGAAAGACAAAGTTGAAGAGGTAATATTTTGAACAACTACGTTGTGTTAAAAATATTTTTTATTGTGATTACCTCGGATATACCTCGACAGAAGCTATATTTTGGGAAATTTGAGGAGAATAGGTTATATAAATGAAATGCTAAATTTGTAAATAGCCTTACTTATTTTATTGAATGAAATGAAAGGAGTGCCGTACTCTGCCTGGAATTCACAAGTAAAAGAGCACGGCAGAGAAAACCCCCATCACTATTCCAGAGAATCTAACTATGCTGTCCTGAACTTTAATAAAAGAGAAATAATAATATAGAAACTGTCCTCATACCAAAGTTTGTAGTATCGTACTTTCAAAACATGCTACATTTATATCGTTCAAAACTGAAGAATTTTTGTTAGTTTAACGGGTCCCCACCCGTAGGTATTAATGCCCTGGTTGCGGAATTAGAAGCTAAAGTTGAAGGTTTGGTGCAAATATCTTTAGATCATAAGTTATTCTACTGATTGTTTTAGTTTGCCCTTTTGCGAGCTAAGATATTTACCCATGCACGGTTGAAAATTTTAGTACACTCAACAAGGCCCTTACTCTCACACTGAACCACAAACATCGGCACAAATAGACAGTAAATGATTGTATTTAGATTACTTAAACTGAAATTATTCACAGCATAATCGATTCTATTAAATACATACACATGTTTATATATTATCTTTGCCAGATTACATAAATAGAGAAAAGCTTTAGAACAGAATCACAACAGGAAAAATGAGAGATATTCTTTAATAAACACTAGTTAATTGGTAAGAAAACATTTAATAACATTCTTTGTCACAAAACTTACGAACCAAAATAACATCAATTGCTGTCCTCCATTCGCGAACCTCGAGTTCCGGGCTTTACGCCCTGGGGCTACTCGAGAACGGTTCTGAATAGTGATGGGCAAAACTGTTATTTTTAGATAACAGTTGAAACTGTTATAGTTATTTATAAAAAACAGCTTAAAATAACAGCTTAAAAATAACAGGTTTTTATATTTTACTGCTAAATATCTGAAACAGTATGAGACGGTCACCGCCAGGCGTATTAACGCAGTTGCAAGTTGCAACAATGACGTGCTCGGTGGTAGTATTTCCAGGGTGTCAAAACATTTCTAAATATCGATTGTTATCTAAAATACCTCTCTAAAAACGTTCGTTGTTTACAAATAAGCGCTGTTTACAAATTGCGATATAAAAAACCAAAATTCCGCCACTCGTCTATACCTACACATTGCGGTCTACCTACGCCCTGCCCCTCGATCCACGTAGATCCTGAATTGCGTAGCAGTGTACAGGGTGCATATCACTCGACGGGCGAGAAGCTCTTAGTTATGATTTTACCATTTGCGGTAAAAAAATAGCAATATAAGAAAATATGTAGTATATTCTTCATAAGTAAACCAACTACACACTAGAGTTCGAATTAATTTTACACTTAAACTAGCGTGTACCCGCGACTTTGTTCGCATCGAATTAATAATTTCAAATGGTGATGATAAAGCAAAACAAGAATTTCCATTAACATACAAACTGGATAAAATTTTCTCGCATTTGCCAAAAATAAGCTTTCTAACGTCGAGCAGTTTAAGCAGAACCGTGGTTAATCAATTACTCAACTTTTTGGAACACCCTGTATGATTTTTTAAAAAATTCAAAATATGTAAAAAAAACAAAATAAATTATGCGTGTCCAGGCGTTTTCCCGAAAGACTAACCGTTTTTTAAATAACAAATATTGTAATATTTGAGGGGCGTTTTCACCCTGTTGGAATTTGAGATTCGAGAAACCCCTCCTTATCGAACCTCAACCCCACAGTCAATCCGTTTGCAAAAAATCAGCTTTAAACGCCCAGCAGTTTAAGCAGAATATTACTCAATGGTCATATTTTATGAAACACCCTGTATATATTTTTAAAAAATCTTAAAATATGTAAAACAACATAATAAAATATACGTGTTTTAAGAGTTTTTCCGAAAAACTCACCGGTTTTTAAATAAAAAATATTCTAATATTTGAGTTTTCCTTAGAATTCGAGTTTCGAAAAATCCCTTCTTATCGAACCTCTACACACTAAAGTCAATCCGTTTTCCAAAAATCAGCTTTTTACGTCAAGGGCTTTAAGCAGGATCGTGATTATCAATGACCAGATTTTTCAAAACACCCTGTATACATTTTTAAAAAATCTTAAAATATTCTGAAAATTTTTCAGAATAAATAAATACCTAAATATTGAAACTTAATAAGTAAATACTGAAACATACAGCGCCATAATATCTCGACCTCCGTCCGTTATGCTCGTAACAGGTTGAAACAGAATGTATCTGAAACAACTGATGGCGTTATTCCCCAACCTGTTTCGAACCTCCATCAACAATCGACCGATGCAGCAGCGTTCCTTTCCCACACCGATTATCTCGACCACCGCCCTGTTATGCTCGTAACAGGTTGAAAAACAACATATCTAAAATGACTGCTTCTCCAACCCGTTGCGAGCCTCCATCGACAATCGACTGATGCAGCAGCGTTCCTTTCCCACACCTGTTATCTCCACCGCCAGGCGTTATGCCCGCAACTGTTTCAAAAAACCTGCTTCTTTTATATCCTATTATTTTTAAGCTGTTGTAAATACGACCATCGACGGTATCGACCGAAGCAGCTACGTTCGCCGTAGCGCTTTCCCCACTCCGTTGTCCGTTGTCTCGCCGCCTGTATCGATGGTTGACGAAATAACATGTTTTCCATCCATACTAGTTGTTTTTTAGAATTGCTTCGAGCAGCATAGAATTTCGTGGTGATGCAGAGCGCCGACTTCGTTTTTCGTTTCACGAGCGGCCGATCTCTACGTGTCGTTACTTTATATCTGTTATTTTTTAGAAGTAGTAACGGTTGCGTTATGTTATTTATAAATAATTGTTATAAAATAACAGATAGTTAAATAACAACCCATCACTAGTTCTGAAAGGAGCTGTGCGCGATAGCCTCGTGCCTCCATATAGCGCGGAACAGTTCTGGAACTTTATGACTCAATTGAATGGAGTGAGAGCATCGCGTTCTTGAACAGTTCAGAGTTGCTCAACTGCGTGAAAGGAGGACAGCAAATGTCGGCAGTCTAATGCTATTATTTAACAACTATTATCTCTGGTCGTCGCCTGATTTCCCTATCCCTAGTTTGTGAATAATATTTTAAAAATATGAGTGTCTTAAAACTGAATGTTTTGGATTTAAAGAAATATGTCTGTTTTTAAATAGGCGGTTCATCTCAAATGATTTGTTAAAAATTATTACTCAAGCTCCATAACTTTGATTAAAGGAAGCAAAATAATTCTATATTACTCCGAAAAAACTATGATTCTTTTCAAAACGTTTCGGACCTTGTTTGCATTGCCAGAGAGGTTTTAAAAGCGACCGACCATTGCCAAACACAAACGTTTTGCACGCAACGCCGAAAAGTTTTTTTAAAGGCAAAAGCCGAGCGATATATGGCCGCAATTTTTTCATTGCTAGCCGCCTCAAAAATAACCGAAAAAAAAATATTGTTTGTTTTTCCGTTTTGAAAATGTTCGAACTAGCCGGAAACCTTACCGGGTCACGCTTTTTAGTGTCTTTTTATTTGGTGCTTTTAATTATTTCATTAATTTTAACAGTTAAGCTTCATTCAGAACCTCGCAATTAGTGGTTTCAATTATACTTTATAATTTTTAATTTACGATCATTCACAATGCTTAAAAAACACAATTAAAATTAATAGGATATCCTAGCAACAGCTTGCGTTAGTCAGTTGTATCCATAGAGAAAGCCTAGTATTTAGTTTATAAAACAATCAACTTTTGATTTCTAACCACAATTTCTCTTGATGGAAGATAATCAAAGACCAAAATGACATTTCTCTCAAATTTTGAAGTATAATTAGTGGAAAAGTTAAAAGTTTGATAAGTTTTTCTACTAATTGAAAGTGTCTACCACTAATTTTGACGTTCTGAATGCTTACATTGAAATTAAAGGAACAAACTTCTACGCTAATTGAAACCACTAATTTATTCCACTGATTGCGAGGTTCTGAACGAAGCTTTAAGTTTAATTCAGAACCTCATAATGTCTACTGTTCAATTTGCGAAGTTTGAAACTTTCGTCATCATTTCCGGCGCCATATTGGTTTTCACGTATTTCCTGACTTGGTCCATGAGTTTATATCTCTGGTTGTAAACTATAGTCTGTCCAACGAGAAGATCCTTAACAGTGATAGATGTGTCTGTCATTTTAATTTCAAAGTAGTTTATTTTATTTTACAAAGAAATAAGTTGGTACAACTGGAACGCATAGCAGGAAATATTTAAAATTTGATTGACAAGATGACAAGTGATTATTTCAAAATATTGTGAAAAAAACTGTATAAAACTGAACAAATGTAATCGAGTTATTTTATTTAATGAAAACGGTATGTCTTAATACAAAACAAACAAGAACAAGACACTACATACCAAAAAAATATAAAAAAGAACTATTTTTTACTTTCAAGCTTTATGAAACTACCCGCATTTATGATTATTTTATCAATATAACTTATGTACAAATACAAATTTGTAATATTCC